AACAAAGGAAAAATATGGCGCTACCCCAGTGTAGTGTCATTGTAATATTTAAAAACTTTTCAGGTGAATACTTCTCAGACAGAACCCCCAAAACAATAGTAGCACTTTACATACATTTCCCTGTTTATCAGCATAATACAATATGGTGACAATGTCAGAAATGTGCTAGAGGTATAGAATAGTCTGTATTACAGAGCTGGAGGAAGAAGGAAAAAATGTGGGATGAGCGTATGTTTGGGAGGATGGACCACCTCACTAGGAAAACGGCTGCTGTACACTCAGCTTAGTGAGCTTTGAAAGAGAGTCAGGGCTTGTTTCCCTTTTTGCTTTACTCAGATAAAAGTTATTCTGGGTTATTTTGAGAAGAAATGCAATAAAACGTATGTTTTGAGAATGGTCACGGCCTACTACTGTAAACACAATTTCACTGTTTATAAACGGGCTGTGCCACCGTTGCCACATGCTGGTGTAAGGGTGTTGTGCCTGTCCTAATGAGTTTATCAAGAAACACAGAACTGCTGTTAATATTGATTCATTCAGCTTCCCCCTTCCGGTGCTGATCACATACACACACTTGTTCTAGTGTTCTTTTTCTTTTTTTTTTTTTTTTTTGAAATGAAAACAACCAACAGAAAACACTTCATTAATGTTCTGGTTGATACACATTAAACATGGGGCTAATAAAGATGTCTTGGAAGTTGTAAGGAATTAGGTCCAAATTGAGAAGTCAATATGATGTTCTCAGACAACAGGAGCCTCTGTTTCAATAAAAACTCTGCAGGAAGGAGAGTCCTTGCAAAACAGGTTGTTGCCTTTCTACCTGAGGCTAGTCTGTAGCTGCGAAAATAAACAGTGGATGCCTCCTGCTAGTCCTTCACAAGTCAATGCTATGCCTGTGTTTAGTTATTTTCTTATCTGTGTTCAAAGAGACTTCAGAGAAAAATTTCAAATATTGAACATAAAAGAAATTTCTTTTACACATCTTGTGATCTGTGTATGTACCCTGCTAACTTAAGTGAAATATGACTTTGTTACTTACCACTTATTGTTTAATTAATTTTCTAAATACTGTAACCTTTCTGAAGTTATTTTTCCCCCTTTTTTTCCATTCTGCCTGTGATCTCTGTAAAAGGGATCAGTTAATGACACTTTAAAAACGTACAATTAAATAAAAAAATAAAACCCCAACCTAGAAACATGAGGTGTAAAGTCATTCAGCAAGGTCAGCTCTGTCATAGCACACATCTTGCATATTTAATGTTAAAACACAGCTGGAATATCTTTAGCTTCATATTTAACTGGAAACTGGGGCAAGAGACTGTGATTGTGTTATATTAAGGAAACCTTGACTTTAGATTTTTTTGGGGTTATTCTTTCTAGTATTCTAGTATAGGCTAAAATTATTGAAAACTGAGTTCTAGTATAAAAATACAAAGAAAAAGTCATTAATTTAAGACCATTACATTGCAGAGCTGTACTCCTTCATTTTTAGTTCGCAGTATGTTAGGATATTTCGGATGAACAAATTCATAACATAAGTATGTTGCCAAGCATTCTTTAAATCAAGTGTGATATTTTCCACAACTAAAAGTAATTTCAGCTCAAAGCTTTAAAATGCAAGTATAACAATACTCCAAACATCATCCCATTAAAGTGAGGAATTTATGTTGCAATTTTATAGTGATGCGTCCTGTTACTAAAAGAGGTTATCCTTTTCCTGTCAGAGGTGGAAATAACACTCCTTTATGTTTTGTGGTTTATGCAGTGTGTTTATATATGTATCTCTCTTATGCTTTTCTATAGCACCTATGTGACCATGAAGGCAGTCTTACCAAGGAGTGGATTCTGTTGAATCTTTCTGCTGTGTTAATTTTTCAACCAGATCAGCTCCCTGACTGAATTGTCTGTGTGGCCACAGCAGCACTAGGACTGCTATAACAGAAGTAATGGTGTGCAAGGGAAGCAGGTGTATCGGCCATATCAGGGATTTACGCTGGTCTGTGCCACTTGTGAAACCATGACCTAGGCAGCAGTCCTGCCTTTTACGTTCATGTTTATGACCCTTTGGCAGCCCAACTTCCCATCGCTATTACTGGAAGGATTTACTAGCAAAGGGGAAATAAATACCTGATTTAAATGCGATTGGACTCTATGCCCTGGCTTTGTTAGTTTGTGGCGTTGAATAGCTTATAGTTGCAGTCAGGTATTTTTGCCACCTGTCATCTTTCTTCATGTGCAAGAAAAATGTTGTGAGCTCAGTGCAAGCTGATGGATTGCACGTGCTTCCTCCCATTTGGTTTCATGTGCAGGGGAGGAGAGAGCCTGTGTTTGTGTCTGACTGCAGTTTTGGGGTGGCTTTGAAGGGGAGGGGGTGCAGATGGCTGTTTTCTTGGACCATTAGGAGAGAAATAGAATAAAGGCTGTGATTTTTGAAGAATTTTCTATTTATTAAATTGTTCTATTAAGTAATCGAAATAGATAGTTCTTCCTGCTCCAGTGAAACATCGTTTGTCACATCAGCAGTGATGCAACAGTGGCATGAGCACTAACTATAAAGCAAAACTTGAGTAACTTGAAATCTTTGACTACTATGTGCTTTCAGAAATTTCTCATTCTTTCTTCCTTTTCTTCTGTGCATTTCCACTAAGTAGATTCAGATCTCTTTTTATAATTTGTGGCTGGTTGAAACTGGTTCTTATTTTTGCAATCATAATTCTGTTGTTTGGGTTTTTTTGAATTTAAACTGACTTTGTTAAACTCTAGTAAAATACAAGAAGTCCTTCCTGATCTCTGGACCCACATTGAAGTTGAGTGGGAAATGAAAAGTAATTGGTAGGCATTAAAATAGTAAATCCTCAAAATATTTTTTGGTCTAAATATTTATTTATTTTTAAAAGCGTTTTAGGCAGTGATGGATTATAAACTTTGAGATCAACAAAGGTATTTTAGCTGTGTTGGTGCAGGTATATGAGAGGCCCCCAGCTGATTCCTTGTTGCTTGCTCTGCTGTTGCTGCCTGTGCCTGTGTGCTGTGGCTATAAAGTGCTCCTGCTGGGGTTTGCTATAGATAGTTACGTTGCACAGGTGTACAGTGAAATGGGGTGGAAAATTGTGCTGTGTGACTTTAGTGAAGAGCAAAACCGGATGTCTTGGCAACCTTTGTACAGCAATAAAGGTTTATGGTTGAGTTAATGAGTTGCTTTTTTAAACTATAAATTACAGTTTCTTCAAACGTATGATAAAATAAAAAGTCAACTCTTGCTGATTTCATAATGCACAGGTGCCTAGCATCACTTTTAGGAACTTAGTAGTATTTAAAGCCTTGGGTTTTAGTGATAATTTACTTCTACAGATGAAAATGCTTAATGTTAAGGAAGAGGAAAAATATTTTAGAATTCTAGGTGTGGTTGATGTTTAAATGATTTTAGGTATCATGGGAGTGTTTGTTTTAAATAGAATGCCCATCTGATTTAACCTTCCTAAGCTATTTGACACCATCGTTATGGTGAATAAAAAGCCATAGTTCCCTATAGACTAGTAAAGACCTATGTTCCTAGGTAATTGCGTTCCCAGATAATGTTTCAAGCTCACACCGTTTCTGATCGTGTCAACTTACTGGTTCATTTTATTGAAAAGAATTATTTTTCTCCCAAGGCAGAAAAATAATTTTTGTCCTGTCTAGCTGATGTTTTTTCCAGTGCATAGTATGATCACAGGTGTGAGGGAGCAAAAGCTGTTAAGTAAGAGTACAGTAAGTAGCATAGGGAATGCACTTTAGCAGTTAATAGGAATATTAGTAATTTACTGAGAAGTGGGAAACTTAAACTCTGTGGATTTCAGAATGGCTGAATCTTGATTTTTACAAGAAAAGCAACCATCTAAACATATGGTAAAGAGACCATGAATTACATTCACACAAGAATGCAGTGCAGAACTAAATGTCTGTGGCATGCTGAGAGTCGTTGTGATGGGCTGTGCTACTTTTGCTCTGAGAAAAATCTTAATTTTTCTTTTTGAAGGAGATTGATTCTTTTGATAGTGATTTGTTTGTTTATTTAATATGTTTATTGTTCTAGAGATTTTTAAGTAACTATGATGCTTTTAACTATTAGCCACAACAAACATCCACAATTTAAGATTTCTAAAATCTGAAACCTGCATATGGCATCTTAAAAAGAGTGGTTGCTTGTTTAGCTGTGTATTTCAAATCACTGTCAACAGAACCATCAACAGTCTCCAGAAATTAAAAAACAGTATTGCTAATGTTACAATATATGGATTTCGTTAATATCAGCAAATACAATACATTTAGATTATCTGAATTTCCAGTTGTAACAAAAATAGGTTACTTAGAAGAGCATCAAAGAAAATAATGCTTGTTTGCTTTTTGTGTCTTAAAATACTTAGAGGAGAAATACAGCCTGGATTTAGTAAAGATAAAGGGAGAGTTCAAGCTACTTACTTATTGCAAATGGATGTAATAGTTTAAAAGGCTTCCAAACCAATGCACAGTGTGGAATCCTATTTATAGGATTACTTTCCATACTTGGTGTGCTGTTAAATTCTGATACTTCTCAGTGTGCTGTTCGTGATTTATGTTGATCAACCAAAAATCTGTTGGTTATACTTGTACACTCTTGTTGAATGTGTGTTGTCCAAATCTATGTAAATACATGATATGCTAAAATGTTTGGTGGCAATGCACAAGGCTACTTACAGTATGGAAGAACAGATGAATGCTAAATGTGTCTATACAAAATACATACCTCCAGTACATTCTTTTGGAGTAAATGGCAGTTGTATTTCTAAATGTTATATCTAGTAGCTCTTTTTGTCTTAAAAAATAAGTCTTCATTATCGCTAAGAAATAGTTGAGGATTTATAGGTGGGTAAATCAGCATTTCAGTTTGTATTTTAAAGTATGGTGGCCTCAAAATTAAATCCACTAAAACCGGACTCAAGTTTGTGTTAACTGGAATTGTGTGTGTTGTGTCCTCCTAGGAGGAACAGGCTGCTAAACTCAAAGCTGAGAAGATTAAGGTTGCGTTAGAGAAGATTAAAGAGGCACAAGTGAAAAAGGTAAGTTATTTATACTGGTTTGTAAGGTCTTTATTTTATACTTTTTCACCTGGAAAATGCAGGCAAAATTTTTCTTATTTGTGCCTATTATCCTTAAGTTGCCCTAAATAACATAGGAACACTGTACTGTTCTGATCTTGAGTGATATGTACTTTCTCATCTAGACTGGACCTAATCAAGAAAATCCTAGCATATAGAATAAGATTATGTTTTTCTTAAGGAATAGCTTATTTTGCCACTAGTGCACGTTGAGAAGACTTTGCCAACTTCCACCCAGAGCTGAAATGAAGGTCCAGCCTCCTGGGATTGTCTTTGTATATTAAGCAAGCACAGATTTAAAATTGGGTCTCTTTTCTTTACAGACCCCTTCCTATTATGTATAGGAGGATTTTCCAGTGATAAATGTAATACATGTGTTCCAGACTATAGACAGGGGTTACCAAGTGGAGAAAGTCTACTGACATTACTTGATGCATTATCAGAGAATATTAAATGTTTGCTTGAAGTTAGAATTCTTATTTTACATTTGGAGTTTTTCAGTAGCTTAAAATGCCTTTTGCGTTTAGTGTTTATATATCAAAAGCTAAAATATTGTCCTGGCTGGAAGATGGGAATTAACAAACCAAGCAGTGTATTACAGCTAGTACACTTTAACTTTTCCAGCTGAACAAGGTGTAAAGAAAGGAAGCATAATGATTGGCAAGAAGAATCTGTTGTCTTCAGTTTTTTGATAGGTTAAAAAGAGGCTTCATTTCTCATTCTCCACAGTGACCTCTTTATAATGCCTATGAAAATCCATTGTGTTGTAAAAGCAGATTTCTTTCACGCTAATGCTTCATACTCCCAGAAAAAGAAAGTTTAGTGTAGGCATATTGTTTACATAATTAGCATTTTATTAAATGTGGAGGAAGTGGGCAGACAGCTTGAATTGCGTATCTGAAAAATTCTGGTTCTGTATAAGATTGTGCAGAACTCTATAGCTATAGTTTGTTCCACTGGATATGTGAGACAAATTGCCGCAAAGACACTTTATTAATTGGAATAGGACACTTGGCAGGAGGGATTTTTTTTTTCCTCCTTAACACACAACTAAAGCACGTTGTGATTGTATTGGGAAGACCACTATATTTACTCTCTTATATTGAAGGAGAACAATATCTTGTTAAGTGTCCACGGTACAAATGTCTAACCATCATTTATGGCTTTTTACATTTTGAGGGAGTATTTTGATTGAACGTGTTTTCTGCTATTTTAACAAAATCTCAGAAAAAGATATGCGATCTTAAAAACATGTTTTTATTTGAGATGTGGGAGATTAATCCTCCTTCTTGTTTTCCTAATTTTCTGCTTAATAGTTGGTGATCAGAGTCCATATGTCTGATGACAGCTCAAAAACAATGATGGTGGATGAGAGGCAGACAGTGAGACAAGTATTAGACAATCTGATGGACAAATCGCATTGTGGTTACAGTTCAGACTGGTCATTGGTGGAAACCATCTCTGAATTGCAAATGGGTAAGTAATAGTTACAAACATTTATAATTCTTGTCTCAGAATGATTTAAATTCTTGTCTTCATAATGTTCATCATCCTGTTCATTCAAGTAGTAAGTGTTCATTAGTGTAGTAAAGCTCATGAATGACATTGTTTCAGAATGATCTGGAAATGTTTTCTTCTTCCATATTAAAAGCGTGTCTAAATTCTAAGGTGTGATATAGGAATGTTACTAATGTCTGGTCACTAAGCCTCTTGGTTTTGATGCATTCCTAACAGAAGAAAGAGGTGAGGAATAAAAATTTACCGTGCATCTTCCTCTTTGTAAATAGTATTTTGTACTAATTCTAATAGTTCTTATTACAAAAAGTTGTCTACTTTTTTTCTGTTAAGTATTTTAATGCAATTGGCAATTTGGCTCTAAGGCTCCTTTGTGCTGCGTTGCAGGTACCACAACGTAAATTGTTCATTTAGCCAAAGGGTATAGCCTCTGAATGGAGAAGGGGAAATGATAGAAAAACAATATTACTGTCTCCATTGTCAGAGAGGAATTATATCAGAGAGCTGTTAAGCACCTTACCTGTTGACTAAAGAAAAGCCCAGAACTGAACCCAAATATCTTGATTTCAAATTAAAATGCAAGTTAATATTTCCTCTCTCTTTTGGTGAAGCCTTTTCTATTTCAGGCAGTGTAGCATGTTAACTGTGCTTATTGTTATACAAAAAAGGCCATTGTAGGATGACGAGGTATACTTTGAATCTTCTACCTTTCATATAAAAAATAACTTCTTACTAGGCTCAAAACCTTAAACTTTTATTAAATGAAATCTTAAAAGTTGCCCAATTTTGAAACTGGAAAAATTTGCACAAATTCTGTGTAAAACCAAATTAGGTATATAAAAACAAAAGGTGTAATTCTGTAACATTTTACCAATAAGAACAGTATGAGTAAATAACCTTATTAGTTCTGCAGTAGTTCTATGTTTCTATCACTGAAAAATCTCTGAATGTGTACGTAGTAGGATCCTGATCTCAAGGTTCAACCAGGGGTCTTTCCCATCCTAGATTTGCTTTCATAAGACACTTACATTCCCTGTGCAGCCTGGAAAGAATAAAGGAAAATAATACTGGAAAAATATTTTCAACTTCTGTTAGAAACGAAGAGGTAGGCTGCAGACAGAAAGGTAAACTGGTATTTATCCAAATTAAGTGTGACTAAACTAAGATTATTTTGAAATGAAACCAGGGTTAATAAATCCCTATTGTTGGTTGTTTTGCAAGTGTATGCGTGCCCTAATGTATGGGCGCAGTGATGTACTGGGAATGACAGAACTGACTGCTGTATTGACAGAGTTTCAAGCTAAAGAAAAACATTGATTATAATTACAGAATTTTAACTTCAGACTACAACATGATGAGAGGGATGCAAAAGGGTAGAATTCAGTTTCCTCTCTCATTTCTTAGTTTGGCTTTCCTTGATCCTTGGTAGGGCATCTGTTAGGTAGTTTTTTGTAGGCTTCACGTGTGGCTTTTTTTTAAAGACAATCCAAAATGCGACCTATTTGATTCATATTTTTCATAGTGGAACTCGAAAAACAGATTAAAAAACGTTTACAACAAAGCCCTCATCCTATGTACCATTTTGTGTTGTGTTATTTTGCCAGTGGTTCATCTTTTGAAACATTTTTTCTGGCAATGAGTATGTAAGAGGAAAGAGCTCCCTTATAATGTTTTCCTTTAGAGAGACACAGAAGACCTATCTACCTTCACAGTGTATTTTACCACGTTGTCTTGTCAGGTGATTGCTCGTTAATTGCACAATTCAATAAAATGCAGTTAAAGCTTTAAGCTAACAAACTGTGAAGAAAGATGTGAGGCCTGTAGAGTTCCTGATTGTCTTTGCATTTTATGTGGTCTGCTTCAAATGTGTAACTAGTTTTTGAGGAGTCTGATTTGGGTACTTGAAGTAGAAGGCCGCGTGTTACTATCTAATGGTTTAAACCAGGAGCTTTATTTGTACTTTAAGCAGAACTCAGTGATGATGTTTTCCAAATGCAGAGTGAAATGGTTTGCCCAGTTTTACCTTGCAAATTTGTGACAGAAACAACTCTGGAAGGCTTCTTTTGGATGGGACAAAGGTTGTTTTCACTTTTCTAGTTAGAGGAGGGTACCTATGTGAAGTAACTGTGAGTTACAATGTTTCCATTTTCGCGAGTGTGTTTAATGATAAGAAAGTTGCATTATATGCAGGTTTGCATGCTGTAGGTACATACGCACTCAGTGAGTAAGTTTCGTGTTTCAGTTCAGTTGTTGTTCTTGTAGTAACAGCTGATATATTTAGAAAGCTGTCCACTTTCACTAATGAGGCTGCTGTCAGATTTAAGCTTTTGTATCCCAATCCTCTGAAGTCTTTTTGTTTTGTTCTTCTGTTAGGTAACACCTTTTTTACTTTCTGGGAAGACAGTATTGCTGTGTTGCTGATAGAGCTTGATGGAAGTTGTGAGTTGTAACTCAAAAGCTTCTTACAAAGATTTCACTGAGACATCAGTAATGTGTTGTCATCTCAAACCTTAATTCATTCCCTGCAGATGACGTTTTTGTTGCATTCACTCTTGCTTAATATTCTTAATTACCAAAGATGTTGAGATGTCATCTTACCTCTCATTCATCATCATGATAGTTCCTAGGTCTCAATGTGATCAGTGCCATATACCCTCTGTAAAAATGTGGCGTAATTGATGTTGTGGGAAAAAACGTGTTCCACTTCCAGATGCAATTGAAAGGTCAAGCAAGTCCCAAAGGGTTCAGATAGAAATAATTTCCTGAAATGCCACTGTGTGGCCTGTGTGAAGAGGCAACAAATTGCAGAAAGAAAAATTCTACTTCAGTGTCTTTGAAAGGAGGAAAAAGCTGGTCTAGTGGTTTCCCAAAGATGTATTCATCCTTATTTATTTTAGAATAAGGGGGTTTGGATATTTCTCTACCATTTCGGTAAATTTTAGTCTTTTTTTCTTCCTCTCTTTTGCCTATTTTCAGTATCTTACACTAGTAATAACTATTTCAGAGTCAAAGCTCAGTGTTCTCAGAAGCCATTCTTGAGACATCATTTATTCAGCAAGATACACTGTAAGAAATAGTGTCAGTTTTCAGGCGGCTTCTACAATACCCCCACTAACCATGGGTATTCTGCGTTTCAGAACCATTTTGTTTTCCCTCTGTTCATTGTCTGTTACTTTGATACTTTGAGTGAGATAGTGATTGGGGATGTAGAAACAAATTCAGTGCTGAAAAAGCTACCTCCAAGGCTTGTGTGGACCGGAGTACATATGAAGTACATAAGAAGGTGATAACCTTCTTATTTGTACTCATACCATTTGAAATTATTTGAGTCTGCTGTGTTCATGTGGGATGGTGGGCTTTGTCAGGTTAAAAAAATGAGAAACACTTCATATATTGATGGAAATATAAGCCTGAAGAGACAGAAGAGAGAGTGTTGAGTGAGTGTATGTGTAAAATTAAACCAGGCACGTCTGAAAGTTGACCAAGTTATTTTAGTTTCTTAGTGTAAACTTCTTCCCCATTTTAGTAGACCTTGAACTTTATTTTCTCTAGGTATATGCCTTGTCTCCCAGACTTGACTACAGAGTAGTTTCTATCACAAAATGTGACAGATTCAAATGTATTTGCTCTCTTGTTATTGCTGCAGAAAGGATCTTTGAAGATCATGAAAACTTAGTTGAAAATCTTCTGAACTGGACAAGGGATAGTCAAAACAAACTAATGTTTGTGGAACGTATAGAGAAATACGCACTTTTCAAGAATCCCCAGGTGAGCATGAGATTCATGTTGAATGTGTGTGTACGTGTACGCATGCATGTCTGATGCAGTTTCTTACTTTTTTTGCCAGTATGCATTTCCATACTTTTATTTGGATACTTGTGTATGTATTAAAATGCCAGACAACTTTACATTTCAGCACCATGTACATCCACATTGTGGTTGGCACAAAATGAAGTCCCTAGCAGAAAACCATGAGCTGAAGCAATCCATTTGCCAATGCGTTTGTGGGTAATTTTAATGGAGATGAAGGCAAGCAGTTTCGTGGCATTTACACCAATAATTAGTGCTGTTCAAACATGTAAATATGCAAGAAAGGTGTTGACAGATACTGCTGGTAGTAATGACGCTCTGCTGTGCATTCTGACGTTGCTGGCAAGAAGGGGAAGAGAAAATCCAACAGAACATCTGCTCCATGGTCAAATGGCAAGTGAAAAGAGAACACGTGTCCCTCCCTGTAGAAGTTGGGACCTGCCTCTATTCACCTGTGTTTGCTGTTCCCTGGCTAGGGAACCAAAGGCCCTTCTTCTCTCTCAGATGACCTCAAAGGCCTCTCTTCTGTCATGTGGTGGCTATAGACGTGATATCCAGCAGCATGTAAGGGAGTGGAGGAAAAGAAATAGAAAAGTGGAAGGTGGCTCTTTGAAGAATTTGAATTGAAAAGAACCGGATATAATATCACTTGATCTTTCTCTTGACTCTTACCTAGCACGTTCCCTTTTGGGGTCATAGATTATTTTTATATCCGTATGGCATTTGTTTGGTAAATTCATAGTTAGGTTATTTTTAAAAAGACAAGGAGTATGGAGTAATTCTTCATGAAAAATAAGTATTTTTATTCAGCAAAACTGTCAGGGCAAGGTGGAAAGAAGTACATTGCTTCTGTGTGTGCTTCTTTGAACACATAGATAATGGCAGTATGTAAAAGGTTTAAAGATCTCTCGGTTTTTTAATATTTTTATTGTGAGCTTTTCAAGTTCATAGTGTTTCAATTTCTGGGTACATTGTACCAGGCAGCTGCTTGTTTTATGGAAAGCCAGGACAATGTTGTTAGGAGGCTGTTACTTGAGAGAGAGAGACTTAAGATAAGAGCATGGACTGATTGATATTTCTGGAAGAGGTCATTATAACTTAGTTCTGTGTATTATTTAGCAGTCTTATGGATAGTTTGAATTGGAATACAAAGTTTTGTTCAGTTAATGTATTGTTCTTCAATAATAGCTGGTTTTTTTCTTACTCCTACAGAAAGGTAAATGAGAAATGTTATTCGGCTTGATTTCAGAATGCCTATAGAAGTATTAAGCTTTCTCTTCTTACAGAACTATCTTCTGGGGAAGAAAGAAACCTCTGAGATGGCAGACAGAAATAAAGAGGTGCTGCTAGAGGTAAGACTGCCAAAACTAAAAGGGCACAGTGGTCACTTCAGAGCTTGAACCTGAACCTAAACCCTAAAAGGTTATGGTGATTGAAGGTGATGGATGGATGGAATGTAATTCTGGAACAACTGTGAATGGAATGTATTACATTTGAGATAAATGATACATGTGAGATTAATGTTACCCTGTTTCAGATGTGATCAGTTAAGAGAAATGTGTCTTCATTTCATTTAATAACTAAAATACATGCTTAGTGATAATTAAAATGAGGTAACCTGTAACCGTGGCTAAAACTAGTTGAAAGTTGCGTAGCTGTCACCTGTTTTTTTCACCTGTTTTTTTACCTGTGAGATTTTTTTTATTAGTACTCACCAAACTGGTATTTTTCGACAAAATTCTATAGCATTGGTTCAGTGACTGGTCTATATTAATATTTTAAATTTTGTAAGTAAGCAAATTAGTTAAAATTTGTTTCAATTACATTTTAAAATAAACAACCAAATATTAAATTTAGAAAATGAGTGCCAGAAAAGGAAGTCAATTAATATCAAACACATTAAATAGTTTATAGAGCTAAGGACAAAATAAAAAGTGTGGCTCAAGTAAAGCAAACAGTAAACATAGCTTCCATAAGCTGAAAACTGAATGATTTTGTGACATTTTTGTAGAGACATACCATGTCTTTTGTAGACATACCCACATCAAGTGTAAGAGCTTCCACTTGATTTCCAGAATAATGGTTATGATTTCAGTAGTTACATGAAAGTAAATGTTTTGAGTATTTAATTTTGGATTATACTTAATACAATTTAACTTATAAGCAGCATATGCATGCTCTAAGTATATTACTAATATGGGTTTTAGCAAGTGATCACGTGAATACTGTGGATCAAAAAGATGCTTGAAGCCATGACATGCAGGGAGTTGTAATTCTATCCAATTCTTTCTGTCTTCTAGGATTACTTATAAATCTCTGTGCTGCATATTAATTTGGAGTGTATTTAAAGCATTTGTTTTCCTCTTTTAGGTCTTTATAAATGGAACCTTAACAGAAGTTGTAGTGTTGGCAGTTGGTAGCCACAAAGTACACATGGAATGAATTATAGATGTATCTGATGGATATGTAATTCGGTTTTGTGTATACTTAGACTTATGAGGCTTTATCTATAAGGTGACCTTGTGACTTTAAAGCCATTAAAGCCAGTGGGGGATCTGTTACTGGTAACCAGTGGTTAGAAAATCTTTACAGTAGCTGCTAATGTTTTTGTTATCATTCTTATGCTAAGAAAATGCTAAGATCCCCTGTTGTCCTTGTCTGAATTACCTAATAGCTTCTAAAATTAACCTCTAATTCACATCACTTTGGGGGAAAAAAGGGCTGTCCCTGTTATGTGTGCATTCCTTAGATAAAGAATTCCAGAATTTCCGTCATTAAAAACAAACCACTGCATGCTGTATGTTTGGTCTGTTTCTATTTTCCCAAATCACTCTGTTTATTGGCAGGAATGTTTCTGTGGAAGTTCTGTAACCGTGCCAGAGATTGAGGGAGTTCTGTGGCTGAAAGAGGATGGTAAGAAGTCTTGGAAGAAACGTTACTTTCTTCTTCGAGCTTCTGGAATCTACTATGTCCCTAAAGGGAAGGCAAAGGTATGCTATTTTAAAGCAATTTCCCTGAATTGTTCGTTGCTGATAAATCATGCACATAAGTCAGCCTTAAATTTTGGCTTAGCTGTGCCTTGCCTAGTGACACATCCCTTAATTAAATTGCAGCTTTGTCATGGAAATAGTATGTAAATTACTGCGGTAGCACTTGATGGGAAGGTTGTAACCCCAAATTTAAAAATACAAGCGTCAAGTGTCTTTTTTTTGAGTGAGCTTGAGATTAGGCATTTAGAAACATTCGATGAAAAATGATTGGTTGAGTTAAGAGGCTATCTTTTCTCAAGCAGAATTCAAGTGAAGGACCAAATTGTACTGCAAATGCCAATCGTAAAATATCTGACCAACTCCACAATCAATCTGCATAATTTCATTGGTTTTAGTTCATATAAACGGGATTCTTTTCAGACCAATGTGTGCTGTGGCTTTTTTGAAACTGGTAAATATAATACCATTTCTTCAGTGTCACTTACTGCTGTTCTGTGTGTATTGATAATGAAAAGTAAATAGAAAGCTGCTACAAATGCGTTACAGCTTCAAGGCTGAACTACTGTGAGTTCAAGTTCACCATGAATCCATCAGTCTTGACAGCAGCAACTGATCCCCAGTACAGGAAGTCCGCTTCCCACACAGCTGGCCATGAAGAGGAAATCTGTGTCAGCACATCAGCTCCCTTAAGAGCTGAATACATCTCAGGTGTTCTTTCCGTAGACTTTTGCTTCGCTAAAACAATCTACATGCAAGATAGCCTGTTGAAATTCTGTGCCCTACAATCATTGCCAAACATCATTAGAATTTTACTCACAGTCACACTGGAATTTGGACACTTTGGTTATTACCAAGTTCAAAAGTAACCAACAGTTGTTAAAAAGTTCCTGGTCAACCAATCCTATTTACTTTCTCCTGATACCAGCTCTGTATAAACATCAGTAGTCCAGTGTAAAATGTTGCCAAAAGGCAAAATGCAGACAAAACACAAAAACCAGACTGAATCTGGAAAAGGATATCCTGCTTAAAAATGAACATCTGATGCAAGACTTTATGTATGGCTGTATCTCCTTCTTGTATTGGTAGTTCTCGAATCAGATTGAAACAAATATTTGACTATAACTAGACCTTAAATTAGTATTGGATCTTAACACTAGACTGATTTTGTCAGTGCATGTGGTTTTCTTAGATATTTTGTAAATTACTATTTTTGTATCTAATAGGTCTCACGGGATCTCGTGTGCTTTCTACAGCTAGATCATGTCAGCGTTTACTATGGACAGGACTATCGGAACAAATACAAAGCACCCACAGACTATTGTTTAGTGCTAAAGGTAACTTGTTTTGAAAAGTCTCATGCTGAAAAGAGAAAATAAGGAGCTTGAAACATTTCCACACTAATCTTAGTCCCTTATGTTAACCACACTTCCTACTTGTGAGCAAGAGCTGATTAACACAATATTAACCTTGGGAGAGATTATAATTTAGAATACACTTCCTATGGTAATATAACAATTGGAAAGCTATGCCTGTCAATTTTCAGGGCAAATATCTGAATTATCTTCATTCTGCGCAAGATAAATCTAAATTGCTCCAAGTTACAGAGACAACGAGAAAGCTGTGCTTAACTACATTTTCTGTGTAGTTGTAGTGAGCCTCCTTGACAGAAACATGGTAAAAAAAAAAAAGAGAAAATGCCACATGGGGACTAGCACAGAGGGAGGAAATGGCTATGAATCACTTTCTTCCCCATCAAGCTGACAGATTTCCTCCACTTGCCAGAAGATCAGTGTGGATTGCATGATGGGGGAGGAAAAAAGATCAGAGAGCAGCAGCAGAATGGCTTTACTGGATTCATCTAGCACACTAGGTTTCTCTGACAGTGGCCTTGCTTTATAAGCTGCACAATTAGAAGTACAGGACAGTCTTGCAGAGATACTTCCACAGAATAGTTTTTCAGCATTTACAAATTTAGGGAGCCAGGGAGTGGATCTTGGCTCTTTAATAGCCCTAGGTGCATTCTTAGTCTTAGATTTATGCCCTGTCTCTTTTGGGATTCCAAGAAACTTTTAGAATGCTGCAGCAGTTGGGTACACCTTGTACACTCTTTTACTTGTTCTGAACCATGAGTTGCTTTCCATTTACGTTTCGTCTAGTTCTTGTATAGGAAGGGAACAGTTAGTGAACAATTGTTGCCTGTTCTCCATGCTCCTTATGACTTTGTAAATGTTTTCATATTACCCTGAATTGTCTTACTTCTAGGCTGATCAGTCCCAGGCTATTTAATTGTTCATCATACTATAAAACATAACACTAGACTCTTTTTTGGGGGGTGGTTGTTTTTTTTTTTTTTTAATTTGGCAACTCTATACCTTACAACAGTTCAGGTTCAGTGAGATAATACCCTTTGAAACAGTAACTTCAGGGATTGCCATCTTCTCAGAGTGTAGGTCCAGAGTTGTGCAGAAATTGTATTAGAGAGTAAAGTCTACCCATATTGCCTAACCTGAGGGAAAGGGGATGCTGTAAAGGAATAAACTTCTGAGTATAAAGGACAGACAGAAAGAACAAGTAGAAAAAAATGTTATGAAAGCAGTGACCTGATCTTAAACTGTGAGATTAAAAAATTGAGTATTTCAAGTCATTTCAAATTGCATCAACTTATCTCCCAGTCTCTCTTGACTCCCACACAAAATGGTGTCAGTTCCTGCAGGATAGCTAGTTACAAAGCTATTTTAAAATAGGTTTTCACAGTTTTTTCACATCAAGTAAAGTGTCTTCATGGATTTGAAAATGGTGCAAGTAACAAGAGATGGTTATAGTTGCACTTAGTTTTCCTGTTATCTTCTGTGATCTGTAGCTCATGTGGTGTTGGATATGTCAGTACATTAGAATGTTTTATGTGCTTGGAGTGTGCGGCTGCCTGTCTGCTGTGTGAAAGAAAGATTTAATCTTCCAATAGACAGGGCAACATGCATTTGGGCCCACTGAGAGGTAGACACTGAATAGCAAATACAGGATATGATATTAAGGGAGAAAGCATACAGCTGAAACTTTTAAACTTGTTGACCACAGAGAGTAAACTAGACTAAGTTTTATGTAAGTAGATTTTTTTAAAAAAGTATTGCCATTCTGAGCATGAATGAAGACATGAAAATATTGAAGTCAAATTTGAATGTGTCTAAATTGTCCCTTTATTTAAGTAAATGAATAGGGTAGAGTTGGTTGTATAACTTGAAGTGAAGGTATGTTTCCAGTGTGGAACTGATGAATCACCGCATTAGTATATTAAGCAGGATTGAGTTCTGCCTTCATCAATTTGTAAAATGTTACATCGATGTTTTAAATCAGTACCAATGTATAGAAGTCATACAGGTGTTTTTTTAATAGAAATTCTGTTTTCTCCCACAAAGATTCGTGAAGTTGGGAAGTATCTCCACAACATGAACATGTTTTTGGAGAGGTGAATGGCAAATACAAACTTGAAAGGCCAATTCTCACTGAAGTCCAGAATGGATTTGTATTTACATCTTTGCTTCCCTTGTTTATCTTGAACCTTACTGTGCAAGGCAGGTTCTGTGCTATTGTTAAATATGACATTTGTATGCTAGCATATAATATTAGCTCCTTGGTCCTAAATAGTAGATTTCTGAGAGGTTCTTTTATTTCTACATAGCCAAATTTTTTAACAAGTCCAGGAAAAAGATGCCTTGTGAGCAAAGTAATTGTTTTGCTTCTATAGACTCTTCTTCAACAACTCAAGCCATACAAAAGCAGAGAAGACCAGCGTGTGTGTTTTGGCCTGAGAGGAAGGTGAAATATCAGTTGTCTCCCTCAGGCGATGAGTTAGTCCATAGAGTAGTGAAAGGAAACTCTTTACTCTTTGGCAGTCCCTTGCTTGTGTTTAGGAAAGGTTTTTACAAGGTGACACTGTTCTGACCTCTTGGCTTGAGACTATAAAGATTTCTAAGGAGCCTTACAGGTACAGAAGACTCAGTGCTGTACCTTCTACCTACCAACAAAAATACTGAAAGATACACCCTTTCTTAGTGTGTCAAACCTGAAAGTCAGTGCATGCTGGACACACTGACAATCTGTGTGTGAAGCAATCTCTACTGCCACCTCCTGAAATACCCTCAAACATTTTTAAGTGGGCTCAAATACAGACTACTATTGAAGAGCTTCCAGCATTAAGTTTGTCTGTATAGACCTCAACAGATAAATGGCTTTCCTTGCATTCCTAGCTATTAAAATATTGATGAGGGTTAACAATTTTTTTGCAGCATCCTCAGATCCAGAAGAAATCCCAGTATATCAAGTATCTTTGCTGTGATGATGTAAGAACTCTACACCAATGGATCAATGGCATCCGCATTGCTAAGGTAACCTCTTCTAGGCGGTCTTGGCACTGTTGTCATGAGTTGTTGTCATTATCTGTGAAACCATTGACAGTTACTTAGCAAAATACATGCTAAAACTAACTTCTCTATTTAACTATTCTGAACATGAGTGTACAATCTTACATATTTCATCCCTAGGAAAATTATTAGGCTTTGTTGTTACAATCATTCAGTAATTGGTCCATTTCTTCTTGTTTCTGCTGCACCTCTGTCACATGACGAAGTTCTAACTGATACAGATTTTAGCCAGGTCCCTTACAGATTTTAAAAAGAATGCTTAGGGGAAAAGAGAATTGAGAGAACAACTCTGTTTTCTGTGATCCCCAGGTTGGCTTAGTTTATTTGTTGGCTCATTTCTTGCTTGTTGCTATCTCTTCCAGCATAAATAAACCGGTTTTTCTTTCTTTCAGCAAATAAATATATATAAATATATATAAATATATAAATATAAAACTAATAAAAATTAATGTTGCCTGAGCTCCTTAACAAAGAGCCTGTGGTTTCTTCTCTGGGGAAAAAAAGGTAGAATAGAGAAGCCGGAGGTGGAGCTCAACAGCTTAAAAAGGGTACACAGCTCCTATACAGTTGTTAAATTTATTTGTCATTTTCCTTAGTATGGGAAGCAACTATACATGAATTATCAGGAAGCATTGAAGAGAACAGAATCGGCATATGACTGGGCTTCCTTGTCTAGCTCCAGTATCAAGTCAGGCTCCAGCTCATCTAGTTTGCCAGGTAATAATGTGATCTGTCTCATAAAAGAAAGATTTAATTACCTTTTTTATCATCTGTTCTCTGGAGACCTCAGGAGAGACTATTGCAGGAAATGGATTGTTTCTCCAAAGTCTTTTATGCTATGTTTAGTCTCAAACATAGGCTTTATGTTTAAGATATATATGTGTGTATATATAAAACCCTATTTTATTATATTACTTGCAGTGGTGTATGTATTTGAAACATATAGTACTTTGTTGTTCACCTCCAAAAAAGACTGTATTTCTGTTACTGAGAAGAGTAAACTTCCTTTCAAATTCCTGATGCCTCTATCTTCACCTATTTGAAAAAACAAATCAAATATATGTTTTAATGATGCATAGAGCACATATGTGTACTCTTAAACTGCTTTTGTTGACTGAAATATTTGAAATTGGAAAATGAGGAAAAAGCCTCTGCCCAAAGGCAAAGATCCAAACAATCTCTTTAGGGACAAACTTTGAAAATACTGTTTCTGTTCCTGTGTCAAACTGTGTGCCTGCAGTAATATGCTCCCGATTACCTCTGAGCAGGACTGGGACTGCTTTTTTTTTTTGTAGCACATAACAGTTTAAAAATTGATAATGGTTTATATAGCCTCATTTCACTGCAGAGCTGACTGACACTTTGCCAGGTTATTCTGAACCCTCAGGGGCAAGTTTCATTATTGAAAACAGGCTGTTGTGTGAAAGTGTTTTGTCCATCACAGATACAGGTCAGGAAGTAATGCTACTGAATTGGAAAGGTTCAGAAAGTAGCCTGTGAGAATGAGCTAAGCAAATTCAGCCTAACTGGGAAGACACCATATTTTTTCAACTGTGAGGCTCAGTTTGCCAGATATAGTGGTACATTCTTGGTTACTGACAATTTCTCCATCCAAGCTGGGTATTTTTCTGATAAAGTTTCTCTTCTTGTGAGGACCTGAGCCACAGCCCACCAGCCTGTGCGTAGATGCTCCTTTTCCTCAGGACAGCTTGGGACTACACAGAAAGTAGATGCCAGGCTGGATAACTCGGTCTGGCAGTGGCTGCTGCTGTCTTTTCGAGATACCCTGTGGATGCAGAGCATCATCTGTGTTTGCTAGTAGCAGGATGCACATCATTCCTTGCCTTCCCTTCAGGAACGGAACAGTCAGAAACAGACTACTGCCTTGGCTAGCATAGTTTGCCTGTGCTCAGCTTATGTCCCACATCTGTTTCTAAGGTGGTGCTGGGTGGGAGTGCTGGAGAGAGAAGGCTGCTTGCATTGCGTCCATGAAGTGGGGGTTTTCCCAAAGTGCAGGAGCTGTTGGCTCTTCAGTACCTATACAACTGCAGTGTGGTTTTACTTCACAGCATATCTGACACGCTGTCATCTTTGTGGAGCTTCAGCTTTGGTTAATACCAGTGACCTGTTGCACTGTTTTGTTTTCCAGACAGCAGCAGACTGGATGTGAGCTAGAGCTTATGCAGTAGTTAGTGGGAACAATGTCCTTTGGTGGGATAACATGTTTAACAAGCGTGACCAATAAATGTCACACAGAGTTGCATTATAAGCACACTGACACTGACTTTACTCTTACATTCAGAAATACATGCTAACTGTTTCTTAACTTTCTTCTAAACAGAATCTCAATCAAATCATTCTAATCAGTCTGACAGTGGAGTTTCTGACACCCAGCCAGCTGGACATGTCCGTTCGCAAAGTATTGTCAGCTCCATGTTCTCTGAGGCCTGGAAAAGAGGCACTCAACTGGAGGAATCTAGCAAGGTAACAAGAAGACTTTAGTTTGAGAACCAACGCCCAACAAAATGTATGAGAGTGTGATACCTCTTCCACCTCTGTCTTGAGTGGGATTTCTTCTCTTTTTTTACTCTGTTATTGACATATACTGCCATATAATTGTTTTTTCAGGAATCACTTTTTCAGGGATTTCAGCCCTGGAACCTTGCTTTTATTTGTGTGCACAGAAGCCCTCTGTTCTTTGAAGGCATAATACAGCCCTTCCCATAGAATCCTATTAACTAATGTTGAATAAAGACAAAATAAAAAGATCAGCTGTTAACAAGTTCAATGAAATTCTTTCACTAAGGTCTTTCTCCCATTAACTAGCCACACCTTTCCATTGTAAAGATGTGAATATCTGAGACCTGAAGGCAGGTATATCTATTTAAGAAGTAGTCCAGTAGTTTTTACATTAATGTTTTCTGTTGTATTTGGTGGAAATGGAAACAGTAACAATAGATACAGTCAAAGCAAAAGCACTAAAATTGACAGCAATTGTGGATTGAAGCAGATCTGATATCTCTTGTTGCTGATAGAGTTACAAAAGATTTTTAACCCATTGAAGCCAGAGGCTCAGGTATGTTGTCGTTTGGTTAGTTTTCTGTCCTTTCTGTGGTAGTTGGCTGGTGTAGTTCTTGGGGAACACTTCCAAGCAGAATTGCCACTTAAGCTGGTTTGTTGCCAGGCTTAAAGGAATTCCCAGGTTTCTGAACAGCCATGGTGTTAGTATTAACTGCAGCAGGTACGTGTGGAAGTACATTGACAGGATGTTATGAGAAGCTATCTTTACTCCTTTTGATTTTGGATCTTCCCCAGACCGCAGGTTCAAGCTAGAGAAGCAAGCTTTTTAAAACTAAAACCATGGGTCGCGACACCTGACATTGGTGCATCAGATAAATAACTAAAAATAAGATACGACATCACATTTTCAAATAAGAAAGCACATGTGGCACAATATGCAAACTGACATGGCTGTGTTCTTTGGGATTCATAACTTTTCTGCAGTGTCTGCTGTCTTGGAAATTGTCTGATTCTAATAGTAATGTAGTACTCAGCCCAGGAATGTAGCTTGCTAAATTGTGATCCAAATTTTTCTGTTGCATGAGTGCAACACCTGGTGCATGTTCATCAGCAGGTGGCTTGTCTATGTGTACAGGGTGCATCATTTCTGCAGGAGCGGGGTAGATGCAGAAGGGCATTTGAGACTGTCTAGCATGTATCAGACAGAGGTGGAAGAGTACTGCTGTGAGAACTGTAATGTTGTTTCCTAAAGTTGGTTTTAATGTGAAAATCTTGCTGCTGTGATCTTTTAGAAGAAAAGTTTGAAGTTTACCACAGTGGGGTCACTGTTGTTCTAATCAAGTCTATAGTGCTGCTGGCAATTGCTCATTTAAATAAACCCCAAGAATTTTTATGTTATGTGATTAAAACCATTTTAAAAATAAAATATTCAGCTGTTCCCTGTTGAGGGCCATCCATGTTTCAAGATTTCATCAATTTGAATTCCTTTCTATGCACAAATCCAAGAAAAGGTGTATTTCTCTTCCTTGTGCGTAACACAGGTGAATGGATTGCTCTAAAACTTCCAAAGAATCCAAATGAAATGAACCATGTAAAATTATAATTTGAAGCCATGTTAAAAAATTCTGCGTAAATCTGTGACAAACTTACTTTCAGTGAAACTACAGTACATGTTTTTTTATCCTGTACAGGTCTGGCCCAAGGAACTTATAAATAACTAATAAATCATACTGTCAGTGGAAAATATTAAACTATGTGGCAAGAGAGGAAACAACAGTGTTGAAAGAATTTTAATTTACATGAAAATGTAGTTGCAGTTGCAGTGATACTGAGATGTGCTGGTTTAGGCAGATTATACTCCAGTTCTTTCAGAGGTAGCTATTCAACAGTGCTCTGGTATCAAAGGAGTTTGTACGGGCAGGTTGCTGCAAGTGGCAGAATTAATGGAGACTTGTCCACCATGTTCCTTCCTCTTCTGCAACAGCTCTCTTCCCCTCGTCCCATCCCCCTCAGCATGCTGGCAGGGCAGAAGAGAGCATGGTTTGGCCCAGCAGGGAGATGACATTGAGGCTGGCCAGCCAGCCAGGATGTTGTACTGGTTGGCCAGTGGGTAACTGATCAACAAGTTAAAAATGGGTGAATTCTGTCTACTTTTCCCTCATTTACCAGGTGCCAGTAACTTCACAACAACTTCTTGAAGTTGAAAATATATTGAGATTTGTAGCAGTCTGTCATACTTGACTGAAATTTGTTAACGAATCTGAAGGCAAGTGGCGTAGGAAAACAGGATGGCAAACAGTTCCATTTCGAAAGCTTGTTTTCTTTGGAAAAACAGCTAAAAAAAAAAGCTCAGTTGTTGTTTTCAAAAATAGATACTACTCTTTTTATAGCGTTTCTGATAGTTCCAGATAGTCATGAAGATGCATGTTACAAATACGAATTTGATAGTATACACTATGTAATTTTTCAGGATGCACAGAAGGACATCATAAGTTATAAGGATAAACAAGATCAATGATCAGTTTCAAGGTTGTTCTGTAAACAAAGTGTCACTGAATATGTTTCTGTTGTGAAAATTTAAATTTGATTCTGCGGAGATGGTAGGGGCTCCCTCTCCTGACATGTACAATATTCTTTTTCCTGTCCTGAGTGTTTAATTCGCTCACTATGAAAGTTACTGTCTCCAATGGATATGAGGAAATTCCTCTCTGTTTCAAATATATCTAAGATTAAAACCCCCACATATCCTAAAATGCAGATAATCTATCCACTTAATATTTTGAAAGATTGCTGTTTGCCCAAAGAATACTTTACTCATCTGTTCACATTCTTCATAGTTGGGCATCTCATTATGTCTCACTTTGCTTGTTAGATTTTGAACATGTTATTTCAAATGGGATGCTATGAGGCAAATGAGGCATCAAAATATGCGCTCACTGTGTGTGCTTTGTGACAAATTTAAGATTCTCCAAGGTCTTGCTCCAGGGATAGCTGTTCTATCATGCCTCGGTCTCCCTCTCTGTCTGTTTTATGCCTCTTTTTATTTTTCCTGTTGCCTTTTGCTGTCTCAGGTGTCAAAACTGAAGCTCAGCACAGCTAAGGTCAGCACACCCGTGGTGCCTTATACAGGGCACAATTAAGGTCAGGTGGTGCTACTCGAAAATTTATTAACCTGGGTGATTGGGAGAATGGTAATTTACAGACTAACACTTGCAAGAGATCAAGATTCCTCTCCCGTTCTGTTATGTGAACACCTTGATTTAGCTCCAGAACTGTTGAACTCTTGCGTTCCAGACCTAATGTGACAGGTAGAGGCACACCCCATGTGTGTTGTAAACCACTGTTTGCTGTTTCTGACTCTAATCCTATTGGTTTATTGTGCGTATAGAAACTCTGTGCACCTGTGTTTAGACCAAAGCAATATGCAAACCTGCTTATACAGTGCAAATGAGCACTATTGGGCTAACTTGTGGCAAAGTATCTACTGATGAAGTATAGGTACCCAGTGTGGTCAGTTGCCACATTGGTGTTGCATTTCTAATGCATGTTTCTAATGCTGTGCACTGTGAAATTTACAACTTGGCTTATAGCCAAACCACTTTGTTTTAGGGGGACGTTTATGAATTTGAGTAATGCAATTATCTTTTTAATTTTTAACAGGAATGTAAGCTTACAATTTTAGAGAAATGATTTAACTTGAGCAAAAACCCAACGGGTGGACTAAAACATTGCCTGCTGCTTTCCCATTGCTCCTTCCCTTAGTCAGCTTTTCCCTGTCTTTCCTTTCTTTTTCTGCTTAATGTAATAGTTGCATGTATAGCTTTTCTCTCCCAAGCTAATGTTCTGCGGATTTCTAAACATTCCGTTCTGGTGAGACTTTCCTAGGAAACCTCAGTTCTCCCTCTTTTTCCTCATTTTTTTCTTTGCCAGTTTTGGATATCAAAGCATGTGGAGTGGAAGGATCTCAGTAGTACTCCTGCGTAGAGCTTCATGTGTTACAGAGCAGTTCAGGATTCCTCCATTTTGTGACACTGAACAGTGTAAAGCCTGAGCTAACCAAAGTAAAGGCTTGACAGATGCTCTGGGAGGCCGTGTATGGTTTAACTCTAGTCTTACTGAGCAGAGGAGATGTCTGCAGAGTCTCTTGCTCTGCCTGATGTCCTCTGTCATGGCCTGTCGTGCTCTGGGGGGTGCTCTGATTGGATCATTATACTCGCCCAGAGGAGGACCAGCAATTCTCACTGGGTACAGCTGCCTGCCCCACAGAAGTGACAAGGCTGGTGCATTTGCTCCCTGATATTCAGCCTAGCTTGGAGTAGACCTGACTCCGCTGGTTCTTGCCCGCTCCCCTCCCTGCCTGCCTGATCAGACTGCATGGTGCAGGCTTGTCAGTGTATGGAATTATCTCTTGCTCCATTGTTTTGCTAATACTTCCTGCATGCTGTAATCTGCCACTTAATTTTTAATGACAGGCACATTTAGACCTTGACTTTATAATCTCTTTGTCTCCTTCCCTCCCTCCCTCCCTCTATCTTTTTCTTTTTCTCTCTTTCCACTTTCACTAAAAATCCCTTCCCAATAGGCCCGAATGGAGCCTGCAGGTCGGCCCTTCATGTCTGTCGCACCTCCTGTGTCCCCACAGACGAAAGTGGCGGCCCCCTACACAGCATCGCAGCCGTCGCCCCC